GAGTTGGTGTTCCGAGATGGGTTTTGCATGCGTTTTATTTTCCACTTCCAGCTGCTGGCGGCTCAACACACACACATACAGCAACGGTCAGGAGGAAAGAACTCTCGTCGTCGCACACAAACATGTATCGTATCTACACACAAACATATACATGCAAGCATTAAGGCCGTTTCGGAAAAACAGCTGAGCCGGTGGAGAGTGCGCTGGCTCTTAACCTCGCAGGGTGAATGACATTTACTCTCTCCTGCTGGCTCTCTCCACTCCCTGGCTCCATCTCGCTCCAGTTTCCACCATCCTCGCTGGTGCCGTCTCCCTTCTGCAGACCATTTCGCCCGCGCAATTTTCCTTCCTCTCAGGAAACTCGCACGGACACCTTTTGGAACGCAGACTCTTCTCTCGCTCCTGCTTCAACAAACCTCTCCATCTCCTTCTTCTTTCCATGCCCGCATCGCCAACGTCTTTCCACGACGCCAAGGAAATCGCGCACTTTCATCGAGAGACGAATTTTCCAAGAAATTCCTTTCCATTTCGTTAACGAAGTACATCATTAAATCGAAATTGCTAATGAAAATACAATACATTTTCAACCAAAACACATCACATTATATTAATTACTGTTTCATCACTATTATCAAGTTAAGTACTTTTAACAATTATCATAGGTTTATGTATGAAAATAAAAATATATATCTATTCACAATAAATAAACAAGAGATTGTGAAATAATAAGAAAAATATCAAATTGCAACGACAATTACAATTTCATCGAGATTAGAAAGACAATCTTCGCTTAGAGATAGTTTCAGCCTATTTGATTCCTAAAGAATTACAAGCATTTTTCAGTTTTCTGTTCCAGAATGATTACTTTATGATATTACCCAATATTTCGACGTTTTACTCAAATAGAATGTAGTTTTTGCCGTGGGTATAATTCGCTATTAAGTAGACGCAGAAAGGTGAAGAGTAAAACCTCGAAAGCTAAGATATTACCGTTCATAGCTCTGAGAATACGTATCTGGGTGTTTTATTCCACTCGGAATTCGATACATATAAATAACAATAATATGCTAGAATTATACAACGATATGTAATATAAAGATAAATAATTGTATTACAGAGAAATTTGAGTTAACTTTTTAATAACATTTATGATTTAAAAATATAAACTTATATAATAAATCTTGTAAAATATTTGGTCATAGTGGAGTAGACTAAAATATATTGAAATGATTTTTGTAACTTTCATTTCAGAAATAATTTGCATTATTATGAACAGTTTCGATAAAGAGAAAATTATATAATTTGTACCAAAATTAGGGCGCAATTTACATAAAATAAATTTACTCAAAATTTGTATTAATACAGCTTTTTTTTTCTAATTAATTGTTATGATACAATAATTAAGAAATTGGTGTTAATTATTGGACAATTTTAAATATGTAGATGCAAGATAACTTCTTTGGTTTTTAAAAAAAACTTGTGGAATTAATAATTTTTCAAATATACTAAACGAATATACTACAATATAATCATATGTTTAGCAATGATTTATGTAACTTTCCTTCAGAAATAATCTGAATGAAAAGATAATGTGAATTAGTGATTTTTCAAAAAAATTCAATAATATAGTTTTTTTCTATTAATTGTTTGGATTCCAATTAAGACATTGGAGTTAATTATTTAACAATATCAATTATATGAATGGTTTTAACAACCTTGTGGAAAGAACAAATTAAAAGATTTCCTACTTTAATTCAGTAATGAAGAATCTTCTATAGAATCTAATATTAATTAGTAAAATCTTACTGTTGCATACAGTTATATTAGTTGTCTTTTAATTGAAAAAATAATGATTTTATAATACATCAGTTTTTTCAAAACATACTTTGTTTTACATAGAATTTTAAATTTTATAGACCAATCTCTAGTATATGAACAAAAAAACAGGTTTTAATTATTTATGCATTTTCAGGAAGAAAAAAGTGCCCTAAAAATCATATTATTATATTTCTTCGATAGAAGTAACAAAACTGAGTTCATTTAATATTAAAATCGACGATTTCAAAATGATGTTTAAAAATGTTGTTTTTTTTTGTACAAATGTAATTAATTACAATAAGTAGACGAAATTTTTATGGAGAGGACAAAAAAAATGTAAATTTTTCATTTAAAATGTTCTTAGATTAAAAATTTGATTTATTGAAACATTGAAACAAAATTGGATTTAAATAAACATCATTTCGAGTCGATGCAAGTTTCAATGCAAAAACGAAAGTGTTTTGACATTGACTTTCTATAAAAGGAAAATACCGTTTTGCTATTCAAATCGACTCATTCGCTTGTTGCACTTTACAAACACAACAAAAGTGTTGTAAACAGGAACAAACACGAAGAAAAAAAGCGGAAGATAAAATTATGTTAAGAATGAAAAAATAAATATAATAAAATAAAATTAAATGCGAATTTTATGCATTTCTACACGCAAATACACGCATATAAATCTATTGGCGACGACAATAAATTGTAATCAGTCCAATGGTTTTACGTTTCCAATTATTTTACGTTTAATAACAAGTCAAAGTTTCACAGATTGCGACGCTAAAATAATTTAAAATTTTATTTAAACTTTTGATGTAAAAATAATCGAAGAAACATCACAGTATTGACAAAAACAAAATTATTCAAAGATCGTTTCCAGAAAAAGTGAAATATTAATAATAGTTTTATAAATAATAATTCTTATAAATCATATGTGTTATAGATAACTAACATATCACTTGCGCATGCATAGTGAAGTAGAAAATGTAACTAAAGTAATGAAAACTTTCTACGTATGTTAATTTAAAAGTATTGGCTTCATATATAAACAGTGGCGCCATCTGTTATGTTGAGAGGAAACGCATTAAATGACAGGTGACATTTGTTCCTGATGGTTACTGCAGCCAAATGCGCATTGAGTAAAACAGATGTCGCTCAAATCATTGTTTCGTGAATTTTTTGAAAATTGAAAAATCTGCGAGAAAAACACTGTTTGGAGGAGAAAATAAATTCCCTTGATCATCAGAGAATGACTTACAAAGTTTATATGAAAAATAGTGTGCTGATGACAATATAATCTCTACTAGCATTATGGAACGGTCTTGAATATAAGATTACTTCTTTAGGTGGATTTCTAGTACACCTGTAATCCATTCTTTAATGAATACAGTCGAAATGGTAACGCAAATTTTATAGTTCTTCCATTAAGAGAAAATATTATAAATTTAACAAAGTAATCCGAATGATTCGGGTTTCTACAAGAAGTTAAAGGTGTCTTCTTCACTGTCCTGATATCATGACTGTACTTCCAGTTGCATACATTAATCGATGCTCTATTTGCGCAAAATCGTCCCAAAACAATAGCAAATTTTGTATTCGTCACTCATAACTCTCTATAACCAAAAGATAGCTAATAAATTCCTAAAAATCACAGAAACTCCTATGCACCGATAGAACACAGCTAAATAATAAATACTCTTCCAATAGAAAAGTAGCAAATAAAATTGAAGATTTAAAACAGAAGACATCAGACAATTATTGTAAATGGAAAATAATTAATAAAAGCAAGAGCACTAAAAGAAGTAAAAATTGTGAAAATTTTCCCTGGACTAATGCAGAATTTTGAATGAATATTTATGAAAGCTCTTTAGTTCCAACTATCAAAGTTAATATCAAATCGAAATAATGATTCTTTTCAAACTATCATTATATAATACATAAGTTCAAATTATAAGAAAACACTAAAAGCTTGCAAGGTGTAATTTCATTGAACTAATGTAGAATTTAGAAAATCTTTATAACAAGAATTAAGAGCTAAGAGTTAATGCTATTCAAACTGTCATTATGAGAGAATTACATGTCATCATGACAGGTTGACACTGTTATCATGACAGTTGGACACTGTTATCATAAGAGGTTGACACTATTATCATGACAGTTGGACACTGTTATCATGACAGTTGGATACTGTTATCATGACAGTGGGACACTGTTATCATGACAGGTTGACACTGTTATCATGACAGTGGGACACTGTCATCATGACAGGTTGTCACTGTCAACATGACTATTTCTTCTTGGAAATAAATAAAAACATCAGAGTCTCAAAAGATAAATAAATGCAAACGTTTTCGCACAGTGACTCATTAAGTTAACGTTTCCTTTTTCCCAGATATTTATTTATCGATTTATTTAGCACGTGCGTCCACTCGAAATTCCGTAATTTACGTAAATCCCAAGTAAATTGTAATTTATTTTTTCTTGAATTTTTTAATAATAATTTATTTCCCCACCAACAACACTAAGTACGCAATACGTACAATAAACTAGGTGCAGTAGTTGCACACGCACACCTGTAATGCACATACAAGGAAACTGCTCTTCCTTGACAACAGATCGACGCTCCTACAAGAAAAAGTCACTAACGTTTTATTTACCTTTAACTTTCTCACTTGCCTTGATGCATCGGGCAACACGAAAAAAAAAACTTTGAAAACTAAAAGCAAAACCTTTATGAAACCTCGGGTTGTCTACAGAAGAAAACTGTGGTAGCTCGCAAAGAGTATAAAGGAATAATAATAATAAATCAAATCAAGACAAAACCTGATTAAATATTGAGTAGCTATAGCTGATAGAGATTCCAAGTGATCGAAATAAATTGAACCATCAACAAAAAAAAAATAATTCTGTTTAAATAAACATTAATTTGCTTCAAAATATATACGAGTTTAAGTTAAATTAGCATTTTTATAGAGTATACACATGTACAAAACAGAAAATTGAAACAAAATGTGCAAATTTATTAAAATTTTCTCATCAGCAACTTTCCATTTCATTATTGTTTTATATTAAATGCTCCATTAGTTTATTAACAGAGTGAACATTTCAATGTTTCGCGATTGAATGAGAGACGGCGTACGGATTTGAAAGTTGACTCGAGCACTACTTTTTATTTCTCTTTCAAATGGTAACCTTCCAGTGGAAAAGTATGCGATCATATTTATATAACGCAAAACAGTCGTGTGGATGATTCTGTGTTTTTCCTCTACTGTATCGATGAAGGTGCGAGAGTTCGAGGAAGAAGTAAAAAAACGTGTCTAGTCAATCACTTGGACCAAGAGGAGGAGTACGTGCTTTTGGAGTGTCCGTATTTGTGTGCGTGTTGGTACACTTTCACTTCACGAATTTCTCTTATCGCGCCGCAAACCAGTTACACTTTTTCGCTCGGCCGATGCAAACTCTGTTTTTTTTAAATTAACACACGGTGCGAGGAAGAGAAAGAATCGCCAATAGAGACGAGAGCAGGAAGGGCAGGTTTTCATCATTCAACGAACTTTTTTCTTTATTTGTTGATAAACGTAAGTCTTTTTTTTTCTCTTATTTTACCCTTTTTGCTTCGCGTTGGTCACTATTTGGGTCAACAAAATGCAATTGATTTCTAATGCTGATCGACAATTACAAGAGTCTCTGGTAAAAACCATACAAAATTGGGACATGAACATGAAAACACTTTCATCAATTGATTAAGATTTAATTATTACTGATATAACGTGCAATGAACAACGTATTAAACTAAATAAGTTTATCAACCCAAAAAATATATATTTCTAAATAAAGTTGTTTGGGGTAAATTACCCCAAAGGGGTAAAAAAGAAAGTTTTGGTGACTAAAATTTAATTGGCAATTATTGAAGACAGTGTCAAAATGACATAAGTTAAGTAGTAAATTACCACAAGTGGTAGTAAAAATTAAATTCTTGGTGGTTTTGAAATTGGTTACCAATTAAATCATTGTTTGACCTCATTGTTTGTAATTTTATGATACATTAAACATAGACTTCAATAAATATGTTTTGGGGTAATAGGTAAAAAAAGTCCTGACACCACTTCATTTCAATAGAAGACTGAATAGAAACAAAAGTATTTGTTGAAAAATTCCCTCAAGAAAAAACCGACAAAAAAAGTTAAATCGTACGAAATAATGAGAAAGTTTTTGAATTATTTCTTTTCACAAATAAAAAGTCATATCATATTAGCTCAAGTCGTTGGCGAGAATTATTAAAAATTAAAAAGATAAGTAAAGTTTATAGAAAAGTAAAAAGTTTTTACAATTTTCTTTTTTTAAAAATTGACGCCAATATTAAATATAAATTGACAACATATCAAAAATGTATCTATTTTAATATGTTTCCAAGAAACAAAAGTTTCAACGTACGTGAGGTTAAAAAAAGAAAAGCAATCAGTACAAAGTCTGAATTAAAAATAACCAAACAATTTAATTGGTGATAATTTTCAAATTACAACTGGAAATTCGAAGGAAATTAAGTTTTACAAAATTTATCAATTAATTGATTGCACGCACTTTGTAATTCCCGAAACAATTATCGTATAGCAATCAAATAATCAATTTACGTAACCGGATGTTTGCTAGACTTTTTTTTTGATTTGTTTCTCTTGTTATTTCTAGCGCGAATTAATTGCGTTTCGAAGAGGCAACAAAAAAAATAAGAGAAACTTTCGGAATTGTTGAATAAGAGTTTGAAATTTGTTTGTTTTAACGTGCAGTTGTCTAAAATTCGACGATATTTTGATGTTAATATGAAACATGGAGAAACTGCAAATTCTTTGTGCGAAGAATTATTCTTACAGTCATAAATAATGAAATGCATTTTGCTGTAAGAATGAAATAGTGAAATTGTGTACAAGTTATGCCGTCCGTGTAAAGGATATGGCGGATATATCTGCCGCTCGTCTGCAAAGTGTTTCTTTTTCATAGAATCAAACTAAATGTGTAAAATATCTGAAGATATATATATATTAGGATATTTGTAAATATCTGAAGACAGTGATCAAAATTAAAATATGATGCATTTTTTAAATTCTTTTATTAAAACTATTTTTTAGTGATATTAACTTATTTTTGCAAATCCAATTTTTTTATGACAATTTGAATTATGTATAGTTGTCTAATATTCGACGATATTTTGATGTTAATATGAAACATGGAGTTACTGCAAATTATTTGTGCGGAGACAATTTCTTAGTCATAAATAACGTAATGCATTTTGCTATAACAATGAAGTAGTGAAATTTTGCACAAGTTAAGTCTTTCGTGTAAAGGATAGGGCGGATATATCTGCCGCTCGTCTGAAAAGGGTTTCTTTTCATAAACACAAACCAAAACCGTAAAATATCTGAGGATATATATATTTGGATATCTGAAGACAGTGATCAAAATTAAAATATGATACATTTTTTAAATTATCTTCTTAAAACCATTTTTTTAATGATATTAACTTATTTTTGCGAATCTAAATTTGAATTAGCTATAGTTGTCTAAAATCAGACGATATTTTGATGTTGATATGAAACATGGAGTAACTGCAAATTGTGAGAGAAATTTGTCTTAGTCATAAAAAACGAAATGCATTTTGCTATAAGAATGAAATAGTTAGTGAAATTTTTGTACAAGTTAAGTCTTCCTTGTAAAGTATAGGGCGAATATATATGCCGCTCGTCTGCAAAGGGTTTCTTTTTCATAGAATCAAACTAAATGTGTAAAATATCCGAAGATATATATATTAGGATATTTGTAAATATCTGAGGACAGTGATCAAAATTAAAATAGGATACATTCTTTAAATTCTTTTCTTAAAACTATTTTTTTAATGATATTAACTTATTTTTGCGAATCCAATATTTTTATGACAATTTGAATTATGTATAGTTGTCTAAAATCAGACGATATTTTGATGTTAATATGAAACATGGAGTAACTGCAAATTGTGAGAGGAATTTGCTATAAGAATGAAATAGTTAGATAGGGCGGATATATCTGCCGCTCGTCTGCAAAGAGTTTCTTCTTCATAGAATCAAATTCAATGTGAAAATATCTGAAGATAGTGATCAAAATTGAAATCTCTCACATTTTCTTGAAATTCTTTTCTTATATTAGGATATGTATAAATATCTGAAGACAGTGATCAAAATGAAAATATGACACATTCTTTAAATTCTTATCTTAAAACTATTTTTTTATTAGTGATATTAACATATTTCTACAAATTGGTTATGATAATTTGAATTATCTAAATACAAACTTGAATTTCTTTATTACATAAAATCTTTCGTAATTTCATTGAAAAAGATATACCTAATACGGATGTGATCTGAAACGCAATTAGAACACAATCAATTGGATGAAAAAAGAACTGAAGAAAGGAACAAAAAAAATGCAAATATGCTTGAAGAATCCAGAGGAACATTATAAATTATAACTTCGTACAATTCAGCTGGAAGCAATATTAAATGCGAAACATGAGAAAATATTAATCCGCAACAAAAATAATGTTATTTATAAATGAATTAATTGCTGTGTTTTATCCTCAAAGTTGATTAAAAAATAAATTGCATCATTTTTATTTCAATGTTATCGAATACAAATGTTTATGTTTGAGAAATCTGTGAAACGTTTCCATTATATATATAAATCATCCAAAGATTTAAAACCATAAGAAAAGACTCGTATACAATGTGTATAAAAAGAAATAAATGAAACAGTAAAACTTTTAAGAAAAATCAAAAAATGTCTCATTTCTAGGTCTTTTCTTGGAAATCCATGTACACAGATTTAAACAAATGTCTTTTTTTTTGTACATATATATAATAAATGAAGAAATTAAGACAATTTATGATAGTTGATGTGGAAGACTTAATTGAATCAATTTTTTCTGTCTTTATGGTATGGAAAAAAACGAAGTTTAGTTATATATTTGTGACAAAAATAGATGTTCAAAAGAACAGTTAGTTCTTCAACAATTTTTGGCATTCCCGTACAAAAAGGCATAACAAATTTTCAATTGTTTTTGGATTGACTTTATACGAATGGTTTTAAGCAAAATTAAAGATGTTCAAAAAAAACAGCTATTTCCAATATTATTAAGTTGTCTAAACATCATTTTCAATTGCTGTGAGACAAATGGTATGACATTAATAATATATGTTAAAAATTGTGACAAATTTCAATTGTTTTCAGTTGCCTTGACAAAATCAATTTCCGTTCGATAAACTACAGTATTCAGTTATCTTTGTACAAACAGTACGACTAACAATAAGAAATATTCAAAAAATATATTATTTTTGGAAAGAAATAAAGCATAGATGTTCTAAAAAGCAACAAAGAAAAAATGTTTGTGATAAAAACAAATAGACGTAACAGTTTCTAATTGTTTTTTTTTATTATTTATCTTTGTAATGTTAGGATTAAAAGTAGAGATGAGACAAACTCAAAATTTAAAAAATGGTCTTACTATGTATATTTTGAGACGAAAATAATAGATGTTCAAAAGACGCAACACTATTCAATTTGTTTCGAGTTATAATTGAACAAATTGTGCGACAAAACATTAATAGAATTAAATTGTCTTAACTTGAACATTCAATAGTAAAACATAATATCAATTCGATTTGTCTTTAAACAAATGGTGTTAATAAAAGATCATATGTGTTCAAAGGACAAAATTTTCAATTGTTTTGAGCTGTCTTTAAACAAATGGTGTCACAACAATAATAGATGTTCAACAAAAAAAAACATAACAATTTCCAATCCAATTAAGTTATCTTAACTTGAAAAAAAAATCTATGCATGTTCTGAGACCAAAATTATTGATGTACAAAAGACGTAACAATATTAACTGTTTTGTGTTTTGTATTTAAGCAAATTTTGTGACAAAATATAAAAGATGTTAAAATAATCAAAACAATTTATCAAGTTGTCTTAACACAAACGATTGTCTACATTGTTGATAGAAATAAAAGGTATCAAAAAGATAGTTGTCCAAGATTTGTAAATCCTTGTCCTATCAGAGAGAGCTACGTTTAAATACAACTTAAACTTATAATGAGGAATAAATTCAAAGTAACTAAGCAATAGTTCATGTACTTTAAGCAATTATTATGTAAGCGACAAAACTAGTTTGGATTCAAATAGTAGAAACGCCATTGTCTAAACGAAGCAATTAAAAGATTGATTAAAAAATGGCGGTTTTGAAGACAATTTTTACAATAAAATCAGTATATTAAGATAGACTATAGTTGCAACTATAGTATTTCGCATTGACACAAGGTGACAGCTGTCATTAAACAAACACGTAACCTAATTTTGGATTGTGACCCATATGTTAAGAAACACTGCTATATAATAACAAAAAGTATTGTTTTTTCAGATATCTCAGCATGGATTTATTGGAGAAGACAGTCGGCGATTTCGGTAAATGGCAACTGAGGATATCCATCTGCATGGCTCTCCTCAAGTTCCCCATAGCCTGGTTCCAATTGGGCATAGTTTTCCTCGCACCGCCGACCGACCACTGGTGCAGACAACCAGAAGACTTCAAACTGTTGACCGTCGAGGATTGGATCGAGCACATCCGACCCTACGGCAACGAAACCAATTACGATGTAAGCGCATTCTGCAGTAAACGTTGCGTAACGTTTCCGAGATGATGGGTGAAAGTGCGACAACAATCACACAACAAATAACACACAGATGATTTACATCTTACAATATTTATGTGTTTTTGTCACTCTGTATGTGCAAGAGTTGTGTCACGCTTTCCATTTTTTTTTTGACAATTTTACTTTCTGCTCGATTCAAATGCGCGCACGTCTATAAATTCCAACCGACTTCAATTATAGTTTCAGTTTAATTGCGTACACTCAATTAAATTAACTTGACGTTGATGTCGAAACGTAAATGCAGAAGGTCTGAAATCATTTTAATGAATACATTTCGTTTCATAATCACGAATCGAGGAAAATCGCAGTTTGAAAATCGAAAGTGTGTCCAATCGAAACAATAGATGGTGATTTCACAATCTCGCATGAAATTCTTCTGCAGACGATTCTGTCATTTTTTTTCGGCTTTCTTCTATCCTTTGACCTTTACAGAATTAATAAAACTGCAAATTATGCAAGAAATTATTTGTATATTAACAAAAAAACGATGTTGTTTGTTTAATAATAGTCAAGAATCAAATGCTGACAAGTTTATTATAATGATCTTTGACATTTGTATAATATTTTTAAGAAATATTCACATTTTTTAAAGATTCCCGTATAATTATACAAAATATTTATCAAAACAATTTTCTAAGAATAATTAAGTAATTAAATTCATAATTATCAAATTAAACACTTCTTCTAACCAGAAGCGCATATATTTAAAACTAATTATGATGATACTTGTTAGAGAAACAAAATTAAACCAAAACAAGTTGATTTTAATTATTATTGTTTGCGACAATAGTCACATGGTAATTTGTACCAGCGTTTGCATCACATTTTTGACATGTGTCAAAATTGAACAATTTTGTCCCAACGTCACATTTGTGACGCTGTGACACACAAGATGACAGCTGTCATTTAATGCGAATTTCAAGCGATTCTCAAGATTTTCGTCAAGCGACTCAACATGTTTGTTTGTAACACAAGCTATCATTTAACGCTATCATTTGAGGAAAAAAATTCTTGACAAAAGAAACTGAAAAATTCTCCTATAATTTCAAATAATTGCTCAATTATATAATAATTTTCAAAACAAAGCAATTTCCGAAGAATTAAACTTATAATTAGAAAATTACCAGATAAAACTGCACATCAAACTAGAGATTGGCACAATTAAACCTAAACATGTTATTACTATTTCAATGAACAACAATTAAAAAACTTTCTATAATATCCTTATTCAATCGTAATTATACAATTAATTTCGAAAGTAATTAAATAGATAATTATGGAATTATTAGATATTACCGCTTTCGAGAAATCTGGAAAGAATGTATTAGTAACAATGAGTTTTACATCAAAATGTTTGGAAAAGGAAAGCGTAGCAGTTTTTCAAGTTTCATATAATTAATGCATCTAAAATAATATTATTTAAGATTTTGATGAGATTTTCCGTTTCGAACAGATACAATTAGTAATGAGTAACGCAAATACATTCATTATATTACATAAACAATTTATAATTATTTTTTTTGGTTTAAATTATTCATTTCACAAGCGGTGATTTGACGTGGCAATAGTCCTTGCACGTTAATTGGCAAGAAAATCAAGTTTTTAAAGACATTTCAACAATTCTTTTCTTGCGAAGATTGTCTGAAATTTTCCGTTTCGAACAAATACAATAGTAATGAGTAACCAAGTACAGAAAATATCTATGTTAGACAAAAATAATTTTAAAATATTTTCAATCTATTACATCAATCGAAGATTTTTTTTTTGTCTGAAAACTTCCGTTACGAATAGACACAATTACTAATGAGTAACAAATTAATTTCAGAATGTAATTTTGTATATTAATTGCATTCGTTAAGATTAATTGGACGTGGTAATAGTCTTTGCATTTTAATTGGCAATTAGTAACTTTACAAGAAAATTGTTTTAGTTATACTTTAATTATATATTTAATTTAGACTAAAAGTCGAGACCTCGGCGACACAAAGGATAGAAACAAAGGTGGAAAATATCTTTCACTTTCGCAAAAGGAGAATGCAGCGAAGGGAATAATACGAGTTGACTAACAAAAAACGATTAGAAAATGTTCCTGTAAATGATCAAAATTTGTATACCAATTAATTTATTTGTATAAGAGAAATTTGTTACTATTTTAGATGTTTTTTTTGCATATTTAAACTACGAAATGTTTTTTTTTGCAGGACACCAAAGTGAAGTGTTTGATGAGGAATGTGGAGTTGCCGCACGTTAGAGAACTGATGCCGTGCAAATGGGGCTACGATTACGACAAATCCGTGATACACTCGAGCATTATAACAGAATTTAATCTGGTCTGCGGGAAGGAGAGTCTCGTCGACGTAACGCAGATGACTTTGATGCTTGGCGTTCTCTTTGGTAATATTTATGATTACGATATTCTCATCATTAGTTGAAAAATATCCTATTTTCAAAAAACAGGAAACATCATATTCGGAGTGATGGCTGATAGAATTGGCAGAAAGAAAACGTTAATTGCTAGCATCATAATGCAATCCGCTTGTGGGATGTTGTCTGCTTGGTCGCCGTGGTTGGAACTGTTTCTCGTCTTGAGATTCTTGATGGCCGTGGCGAACGGTGGCACGATGGTCACCTCGTTCGTGATGTGCATGGAGGTGGTCGGCGGAATCTGGAGGATCATCGTTCCTATCCTCTACCAAATTCCGTTCGGTATCGGGAACACGCTGATGGCAGGTCTGGCCTACTACTTGAGGGATTGGAGAGAACTCCAATTGGCTTTATCGGTGTTCAGCGGATTCTTCATCGTTTACATTTGGTACGTGTTTTTAAGCTTAAGAAATCTGCAAATCTTCACCGTCTACTTTAATTTAAGGTTGATCCCAGAATCACCCAGATGGTTGATTGCGACTGGTAAAAGGAAAGAAGCCGCTGTTATTTTAGAGAAAGCGGCGAAGCACAACGGAATGGACGAGAGGGAAGTGAAAAAGGCTTTCCTTGCGGTCCCTGAAACGAAGCAGGAGGAACGCGCCAAATTCTCTTCAGTCCTGAAAACGCCTAATTTAAGAAAGAGGACGTTACTGTTATGCGTGAATTGGTTGATCTGCGGTGTCACGTTCTACGGATTCACGCAGTATTTGGGCCAAATCGGCTCAAACATCTATTTCACTGTGGCAGTGGGTGGATTGATCACAATTCCGGGTACGATGATGTGCGTGTTCATCATCAAAAGATATGGCAGAAAGTGGACCATAGCTTCCTCGTACTTCTTCATATCCCTATGCTTCCTCGGGATACTCTTAATCCCAACTGGAAGATTCGTACACGATTGGCCGAGGATCAGTTTCGCCGGGTTAGGTATCATAGGGTTATCCATCGCCACTCCGGCGTTGTACCTTTTCACAGGTGAATTGTTCCCAACTGTTCTAAGAAACGCAGGCGTTGGAGGAACAGTCATGTGGATGCGATTGGGATCAATGGCATCACCTTTCGTCATTTCCCTAAAGACGTACAGCGCCCATCTACCTTTGATCATCCTAGCTAGTTTGACTCTACTCCAGAGCATTCTCATCTTGCCGTTGCCCGAATCGAGCGCCCTTTTGCCTGACACAGTCAAAGACATCGAAATGTCGTAAGTTCTTCATAAAGTAATAAAGAACACAATACTAAAACTCGAAACATATTTCCAGAGAAATAGTCAACAACAACGACATCCTCAATGGCAACTACCTCTCAGTCCCCATCAAAGTACCAGAGGAAGACGAATAAGGCAATTGATATAATTTTTTTATTATACTTTTAAACATTTCCATAATTATTGTTAGATGTATAAATAGTACCTTCTTAGTTTTATTTTTGTTACAAAAAATGTGATGCAACTTGTGTATATTAAATGTTATGTATTTATTTAAAAAACAACAAATATTCGTTTCATTTCGAAATACAATTAATCCTTCTGTCATAATTTAACGTGAATATTAACGTTAGGTTCATCAACATTTATGTTTTATTTTTATGATATTTAGTAAATCTTGTCTACACTCTTTATTCACTTCTATAGTAAATGAAAGTAACAGATTGAGTAAGATTTAAAGAGAATTCAATTTAATTTCATGGATGCATGGATGTTGAAAGCGGTGTCAAGAAGGTTAAGGACGATATACTATCACGATGATGATCATATTCAAAACATTTTATACTGTCAAGGATAATAGATTACTACGCTTGTTTCGTCACACTGCTTCCAATTTACAGTAAAAATCCTTGATCGTATCTAAAACCAAGATCTTCGTATATACATGGTGCAATGAGATAGATTCAAATTAACGTACTTTTTGCTGGAGTCTGCTATGGTCTGCGGGAAGGAGAGTCTCGTCGACGTAACGCAGATGACTTTGATGCTTGGCGTTCTCTTCGGTAATATTTATGATTACGATATTCTCATCATTAGTTGAAAAACATCCTATTTTTATAAAAAAACAGGAAACATCATATTCGGAGTGATGGCTGATAGAATTGGCAGAAAGAAAACGTTAATTGCTAGCATCATAATGCAATCCGCTTGTGGGATGTTATCTGCTTGGTCGCCTTGGTTGGAACTGTTTCTCGTCTTGAGATTCTTGATGGCCGTGGCGAACGGCGGCACAATGGTCACCTCGTTCGTGATGTGCATGGAGGTGGTCGGAGGGATCTGGAGGATCATCGTTCCTATCCTCTACCAAATTCCGTTTGGCGGTGTCAAGAAGGTTAAGGACGATATACTATCACGATGATGATCATATTCAAAACATTTTATACTGTCAAGGATAATAGATTACTACGCTTGTTTCGTCACACTGCTTCCAATTTACAGTAAAAATCCTTGATCGTATCTAAAACCAAGATCTTCGTATATACATGGTGCAATGAGATAGATTCAAATTAACGTACTTTTTGCTGGAGTCATTACTTCTAAGATTCAGCGACACATGCTAACGAAGATACTAGTTTTTTTTTCATACTGGAGAAGAAATGTAGTTCCAACGATGATTATCAATATTCATACAACAAAGGTAGAGGGGACCATCAAAACTCATTCATAAGAGGTATAAACAAGAAGACAAAAATGCGAGTCTCCTCCCGGAAATTCTCCAAAAAAAGGGGATGAATTTGGAAACTCGTACGATAGAATATCTGCAAAGTTAGTGGAGTTGTACTACGATGGATTTCTGAAGATCTATACTGACGGTTCAATACGCAATTCTCCGAAATCAGTTACATACGGAAGAGCAACATTACAGTGCGGAAGATTGTCATCTTCACATCGGAATTCTCTGACTCTCTATCCTCCATCAGCAGTATTTCCAACGAAGAAACAAACATCAAAACCAACCCTTAGGTTGTAGAAGCCAGAAACTCCCTGAATAGATTATCTTTCGATGGAACTGTGCTGTATTCCGAGCAAATGTAAAATTCGAAGATGGTTTTCACTAATCCTTTCCCGACTTTCACTGAATTGTGCAAAGCTGTTAGCAATGTATTCGACACACATGGTACAAGAAATATCGTCATTTTCTCTGACTCTTTAACCTCCAAAGAAACAGCAAAGAAACCTAAATTAAGACAAACCATTGGGCTCTTGAAGCCAGAAATATACTTAACAGACCTAGTTCTGAATCATCATCGGAAACGTACAAGCGGATGCGGACGCAAATGAGGGTGTCTCCATCAACGATCGTCTAGTCTAGGAATCAAAATGCCACATACTGATGTCTTTGATGAGCATAGGCGGCTCGCATTGGTAAAATGGCAACCCAAATTCAGTAGAGACAATCCCAATTAAGTGAAAATACTATCATGCATTCAATAAAGTGATCGGAAAGAATCTTTGGTTCATAATTGTTTGTATCTTCAATAAGAACATCTGTTTCCACGATGTCTTCCAATAAAACTACAGATGTCTACTTCAATGGACGCCATTCTTACACAAGAATCGACCAAATATATACATAAAATCCAATAACATTCAATATTTCTTAAGAATCGCCGAGGATCCGATTCGAAAATCTCCTTTCTAACATGAATTCCCCTGCAGTAAAACTCTCGTTTTGTCAAGATTTAGCAATATGATAGACTATTCAAAGAAGGAGGAAAACATCATCAGATATGTACAGTATTTTAAACTGTTACATAATTAATGTTAGCATTACAAAAATAGCCCTTGCACCAACAGAATTATATGTTAAACATAACAATATAGAAAAAAAAAATGGGTTTTTTAAATAATTTATTGCAGAACTAAACAATATGATTCGAATGGATCAGCAATAACTGTAATAAAAACCAGTTTTGAATTTGCTGCTACTAGCATTAACATTTAAAAAAAACATGGCATTTGATTTGAAAACAAAAGCTTATAAGAAAATGTACATTTGCAGAATGTATTTTATGACAGTACGAATTCGTAGAGTATGATGAAAAGTATTGATAATGATATTCTATATATCAACAATTTGATCATATCGATCTTTTCGATAAAACATTCGTTTTAGAAACTGAAAGTTTCTTCCTTTTGGCATATTAGCATAGTTTTTTTAACATCATTATTCAATGAAATATCTTCATTTCTTGACGATTATAGACGTTACTTATTCATAACTAATACTGGTGGATAGTTCAATGATTATGTCACCGTTCAGGCGTTGACGAAGTCGAAGTGGACTATCTTAAAATAGTATGAAGTCAGTATAACGAATATAGACCATAGCTTGTGGCAATCGCAAGTTACTAGAAAATGAGAAGACAAAAAAAAATAGTTAAAGAGTAATTAAAATTACGTTGGGTTTTACCTGTATAAGCGACCAACTGCGAAAGAGTGGTATACAACGATACAAATATGTGATGATAGTCGTGAACCACGTCGATATTCCAAATGAGGGAGGGAAGAAGCAGAAAAATGCCGAAGCTCGAAAGTATCGTGCATTTCCAAACATCGAAAAAGAGCTCTTTAAAATTCTTCTTCTTCGTCCATAAATTATAAATTACAGTTAAAATCAGGATAACCACGAAAAAGGATGCAGCTCCTGCGAAACGAGATCACGTCAATTCATGATAATGTAATAAAAATAAAAATATGTTATAATACTTGATGCAACTTTCAAAAAAGTCTTATAGTAACTGAAATCTGCTGTGAAGTAACTGTGAAGAACCACTGGCGTTTTGTAATCTGGAGGAAACTTCACCACCCATTCAGAGTATGTTTCCATGAGAAGCAGCACCATCAACAACTTCCAATGGATCTTAAAAAAAACAATAAATAAATCACAATGATGATGCTTCAATAGATTTGAATCGCTCACTGAAAATCCAGTGTTGTACAAGACATGCCGATAAGCTTCTCTATTCAACAGGACCAAATCGATGATTATGATCACTGGATCATACTCAATGTATTTATCGGCAATCTTATTGCAGGAATCCTGAAAGTTTATTTACAATTGTATTTCTTGATGATATTAAGTGATGATAATTTCTTGTTACACATGTTTTGAGCTTCAGAACTGATGCACTGTACTTCTTGTACAGCTCCTGGGTGGGCTCACCGCAGTGGATGCAAACGAAATGATCATCAATTCGCAACATTTGTTGGACGTAAGCGAACATTTGTGTAAGCGTTTCTATAGCAATTGGAAAAGCAAAAGTTATGTGACAACCATTTAAACACAAGCAGATTATTTATATGTATGATTAAATGGCTTATAGAATCAATAAATGTTCGTTTTTTATACACTTTCAACGTAAACTTGATAACATTATTATGTTGATATTTACTTTTTGTTGGTTATGTTCGTGCGTTGCGGTACGGTGCGATTACTTTGGGTGGCGCCATGGTAGCGAATTTTAGTTACAACATTATAGCGTTAGAAGGGACTAGTAAATTTAAAATTCCTTACGTAACCGTAACTTAAAGTAAAGTGATAAGTAACTGTTATTTAAAAAATGATCATGTTGCTATTTAACTGCTAACAATTAGCAAATAAATTGGAAATAATTGATATAAAAACACATTTAACATTTTAGTAAAATTGATTTTAAGCATTTATTTTAGAGTTTATATTTAATTGAACAAAATCAATTATTTTCAAATATCTTTGGATGAATTTTTTCGAACTATTATCGTATATCTTTCCTTCAGAACGATTAAAATATGCGAATAATCTTTATGCTGCATTAAAATATATCATATCTGCATATATGAAATTGTTAAAAGTTTGCTCAATTTAAGAGAATTCTCTTCCAAATACTCTCATGTAACTTGTCTTTTCCTGACAATAAAGCAAGTTTGATGGGTAAGTGATACATCTATTGGAGGTATCAACAATTTTATTGTATTTTCTAAATGAATTAGTAGAAAGAAACATTCTGTTTTATATTCTCCGAATTGAGATTTGCAACGTAAGATATGCAACTTAATGTGCACACTAATCTTTAGTATCAATTCAAACAAACGCATCTTATACCGGAAATAATCTAAATCGTTGCAAGTTTTGTTTGTGTTTAAAAATGTATTATTGTTAATGAATATTGATTAATAGTATGCAACGGATTAAACATTAATCATTTAGAATAATTGGATTACGTTTGTTCCAAGTAATGAATGAAGGTGGCGCTTGTGCTATTACTCAATTTCCAAATATAGTTGCTGCTTAGTGTGGAGTAACAAAGAGGTGTGCCTGACTTAAAGTGTTTACGCGACTTAACTTAAGCAAAATAATCAGGAATTATCATTTTTTTTGGAAATGGGGTGGTTTCGCTGTTATCAGTCAAGGTAGACAACGTTGAAAAAGAAAAGTAACCACCAATTAATTGATATCTAACACCCCTTTAAACTATTATACTAGAAAGCTAAGCATTCTAATATTAATTTGAATGATTGATAACGCATCTGACTTGATATAATTCGTTACAAAATGATAGAAATTGCATTAATAAGGGATTAAAATAACAAGTTAACAATAATACTGTGTACGTTTCCTCAAACTAATCAAAAATGTTAATAATTTCAATTATTGTCCTACGCAATTCCGTTTCGAAAACATTTGTCACATTAATAAACATTGCAGCAGAAATCGCTCATTTATTTACACAGTTATGCAACTCAATTTACCATATGTTTATGAATGATTGAGTCACGTCTTTAAATTTAGTTTTTTTCTTACGAATCCTCCTATTTATGTCTCTGATTCAATTTGAGTCATACTCAACACTACAACTCTTGATTTTCTTAATACAAACGCTTGCATACAAATGAAAAGACAATTTGCAGATCGATCAACGGTATTAATCAGTGTTTATTGTAAATCGAATTAGTTTGTGTTAATTTAGTAGTTTTTTGTTAACAAAAAGTAAGTGCTTATCATTGCTACATAAGTAATGAAATTGTTAAACTATTAAGAAACCATTTTCATTCCTTTCAAAGAAAATACTTTTTTTTCAGGAAAATTACGGTCATTTTTAATTGCGAATTTAAAATCTCTTTGCTTTTCAATTTAAATATTTGTGAATTTATATATTCAAGTTGTTGTTAAAATCTTATTTCAACCTTAATATAATAACTTCTGTATTTTTGTTAATACTTCTTGAGTTATCACAAAAAAGTTAATATTAAATTAAACAAATTTGTGTTAAATGTTCTGATAATGAATAGTTCCATTTTGTATTTATAAAAATCCAAGAAAATTACTCCCGATTTTGATGTATAACATGAACATCTTAATAAATTAAATTACGTTGCTTCTTTTGGATTCATTGAAGTAAAATTACGTGATTTTTTCACTTTCCAGGATGCAATTAACTAGGATATTAGTCCTGTTCTTGTGCGTACTTGCCGGGAACGCCCAATTTCCAGAGAAGTTAACACTGAATCCTTGCATTTCCAAATCCTCTTGTCATGATTGCATCCAGACTCCATCGTGTGCCTGGTGCTACAAACCGGTAAGTTTTCAATAAACTCCCTACAACTATTTGTAAATATTTCTAAATAAACAGGATTTCGGTGAAAGAGCAAGATGTTTCCAACCATCGAATCCGGGCTCCAAATCTTGCCCGGAAGAGTACGTATGGAACCCGGATAATGTCCTGCAAGTGCTAGTCGCCAGGGAATTGTCCAAAGCTCATGCAGCTGGAGGTTCTGCAGGTGGAACCATGGAATCAGGATGGAGCGTGGAAGGTTCTTCAAGCCACAGCTCTTCTGGTTCCAGTTCATGGTCTGCGCATGGTTCATCATCAGGTGGAGGAAGTTTCGGCGAATCCAATATAGTTCAGATTTCACCACAAAAAGTGAATTTGAAATTGAGAGCCAGTTAGTTGTTTTATGCTTATTTCAAGATTTATGTTCTTAATTTTCATTACTTTCAGGGCAATCGTATAGCTTTCAGATGCACTACACTCAAGCAGAAGATTACCCAGTTGATCTTTATTACCTCATGGATTTGTCCAAATCCATGGAGGATGATAAAGACAAGTTATCGCTTCTGGGAAACCTTTTAGCCGAATCGATGCGAAACTTAACTTCGAACTTTAGATTGGGCTTCGGCAGTTTCGTGGATAAAGTTGTTATGCCCTACGTGAGCACCGTACCCAAAAAGTAAGTCTCTGGCTTCAGTTCTGTAACAAATTTCTTAACTCTAAGTACATCCAGTAGAAATAACCGGGTTAGAGAGAATGATTAACAAATTCGAAAGGAATACCTTAATAGGGAGCAAACAAACGAAGAAAACATTTTATTTTTTTAATCAATGTATCCTATAAGATCCTTGTATTGATAACCTCCGAAGATGAGGTCACGTTGCATGGGAAGAAAGGTGTTAGTGTTAAGTTATTGGTTGTAGTTTGAGGGAACCTTGCACGGGCTGCGCTGCACCTTACGGTTACCGTCATGCGATGAGGTTGGACACCGACACGAACAGGTTTTCCGTAAGTCGAAAAGAAACAAATACAAATTAACAAACTAATTACGTTCATTTTCCAGCACGATCTAATCCGTTTCAATTAACACATTCACTACACATCTCACAGCAACTCATTTAATAAACTCATAACATGGTAAATAAAAACTATAATATTGTAGAAAAATTTGATTAGAAATGCAAATTCTAAGATAAAAACAGGGATTTAAACCAATTATAAAACTCTCAGTTTTGTTATTCTTAATAACTAATATTATTGAGTATTCCTTATTTATAAAGAATTACTATTTTTCGTTTTTTTTTTGTGAGTGATTTATTTTCGCAGAGAATGAGTAGAAAAGAAGGAATTCTTATTTAGAAACTAATAATTGCTGAACTGCAAAATAGAATCAATTGGAAAAATATTATCTTGAAGGACCAAGTTATTAACTAGTTTCCAATTATAATTTGTAAAAGGATCATCGTAATCCTACAAATGAAGTTTTTAATTTTAGCATTTTTAATAAAAAAATAAATAAATTTAGTTCAACGTTTTTTTGTAGACTATGGTGAAGGAGGCGGCTGTATCTGGTAACTTGGATGCTCCAGAGGGCGGATTTGATGCCATAATGCAGGCTGTAGTGTGCAGGGATGAAATAGGTTGGAGGGAACAAGCGCGTCGTTTATTGGTGTTCTCGACTGATGCAGGATTCCATTACGCCGGAGACGGAAAAGTAACTTTATTATATCATAAATTAATTAGAAATTATGATGTTCTTTTTTACTTCAACAGTTGGGTGGAATTGTGAAGCCTAATGACGGTTTGTGCCATATGGATAACTATGGTTTGTACACACATTCATCGCTTCAAGACTACCCTAGCATCTCGCAAATCAATCTGAAGGTGAAGCAAAATGCTATCAATTTGATCTTCGCTGTGACCGAGCAGCAGATCGGAGTCTACAAGAGGTTGCAGGAAAGCATAGAGGGAGCGTTCAGCGGGCAATTGTCCAATGATTCTTCGAATATCGTGGACCTGGTTAAAGAACAATACCAGCAAATATCCTCGACAGTCGAGATGAAGGATAATGCGAAGAGTAACATCAAAATCAATTATTACTCGCAGTGTTTGGACGAGAGCGGCGGCGTCAAGAAGACGAACAAGTGCGGCAACATTAAGGTCGGAGACGTGATCACGTTTAGAGTGGAGATTGAGGTAACGCAATGTCCCAAAGACCCTAAAGATTGGAAGCAGACTCTTCAGATCTATCCGGTGGGTCTGAACGAAAGTCTGACTATTGATTTAGAGATGCTTTGTTCGTGCCCTTGCGAACATCCAGGTCATAAAGTAACTTTTTTCCAAGAAAGAAACGATCAAATTATTCATTTTAAATTTATTTAACAGGGTTTCATAGAGAAGGCGGACGAATGTCACGGCTTCGGTACGTTCAAGTGCGGAATTTGCGAATGCGACCACTCACATTTCGGACGCTACTGCGAATGCTCCGCCAGCGAAATGGATAATATCAAAGACACATTAGGGTGCAGAGTGGATAACACGAGTACCGTTGATTGTTCGGGTCGAGGAAGCTGCGTCTGCGGTAAATGCGAATGCAACCTCAGGACTAACGAGGAGGAAAAGGTTTATGGTAATTTCTGCGAGTGCGACAATTTCTCATGCGACAGACACGAGGGTAAAATCTGCAGCGGACATGGAACTTGCGAATGCGGCGTTTGTCAATGCGTTGAACCATGGGGTGGCGCCGCTTGCGACTGCAGAATGTCCAACGAGACTTGCTTTGCACCTGGGGTGTTGGATGGTGAGATTTGCTCTGGTCACGGTGAATGTAAATGCGGATCTTGCAAATGTGAGAGTACTGAAGAAGGCAGGTATTCCGGAAGGTTCTGCGAAAAATGTCCCGTAAGATATTAATCCATTTGATAAACAAAAAAATGATTAATTTCGTTGTTGTAGACTTGTTCGGATCGTTGCGAAGAGTTTAAACATTGCGTGCAATGTCAGATGTATAAAACTGGTCCTTTGGACGAGGAGGAATGCGCTAAGAACTGTACCAAATTTACACCCATCGGTGTGGATAAAGTCGAAGGTAAATATATTCACACAAGTGAAGAATTTTAGATTTAAACCCAATTTACAGCTAAGGAAGAAAACGATGAAAATCTCTGCGCCTTTTACGACGAGGACGACTGTCGCTTCGCGTACGTCTACTACTTCGATGAGCATAACAAAGTTGCTGTCAAAGCCCAGCAAGAGCGCGAATGCCCAGCCAAGGTATGTAAACAAATAGTAGAACCCAAGACAACTAAAACTGCTTCATCTTAGGTTTATCTCTTGGGAATCGTCCTCGGAGTGATCGCTGCCATTGTATTCATGGGCTTAGCCGTACTACTACTATGGAAACTGTTTACCACGATCCACGATCGTCGAGAGTTCGCTAAATTCGAAAAAGAGCGAATGATGGCCAAATGGGACACGGTAAGATCAACAAAATTAATGCAAAAAAAATATATACATAAATGATACAATTTCAGGGCGAAAATCCGATTTATAAGCAAGCCACGTCCACTTTCAAGAACCCCACGTATGCCGGAAAAGGTTAAATCATCACGCAACACAAAAATAATTTATTACTGCCATCAATTACTTTCGTGGACATAAAATTAATTTTTTTAAGCAATTCAAACTAAACTTTAATAACGTCATTTGCAATTGTCCATACTTAAAACTTATATGATTATTTATAACTTAGTATAAATCTTTTCGAATATGTAATCTACACTACATCAGCTTTTCTCAATCTTTTTTTAGCCACGCGTCCCCAACGTATTATTTATTTGTAGTTGTAACCAATTGCTGAATGTTACCTCACTTTGACACAAGGTGACTGCTGTCATTTAGCGATCCTTCTTTTTTGTTACAACTCTTCTTTTATGTTGAAAAATGCTACTATAAGATCTAACCAAAACCTCAACTACATTATACAAATTGTGATTGGCGTAATGCGTCGACATAAATCGTAAAGCCTCTTCCAGGAGTGAAAACGCAGGAGGAAGAAAAAAACTGAAGATCTTTGCAAATCCTTTTGTTATTATCAAGATGAGACAAAGTTCACAAATTAACATAATGTATATATAAAATAATTTTTAATAAAATTTAGTGAAATTTGTTACATTTTCGAAATGTGAAGTCCACATTATTCTTTTGAGTAATTCAAAAACCTGTGCAATATATTAGTCAAATCTGCGTGCAAATCATTGATTGATGTGCCTTTAGAGACGAAGAGAGATTGTTCATGTACTTGAAAAATCGATTGATTTTTTTTCTTTGAAAATAAATAATTTCAATAATTAATCATTTTTAAGTACAACTGATAATAATTGTATTGTAGGCGAAACTACAACGTCTCAGATAACGAAGATTTCATTTATACAAAAACTAGTGTGAAGGTTATACATATTTATGTTGTTTACATCAAAAAAAAAAGACTGAAATATATAGTAAATTTTAAGAAAATCATTTTTCTTGTAACACAAACTTTAATTTACAATAATACTTATGTAATTATCGATATTATGAAATATATTTTCGCTGACAAATGTTCATTATACAAAGAGAAGATTTAAATATAACTGATAAAAAAAATAAGACCATAAAAAGACTGTTTTTTAAAACTAATATTTTTAATACTAAGATTAGGGTCAACAGTCAATCGAAAATTGTTAACATTGTCGAAAATTGTTAACATTATTGTTAACATTTTTGGATAAGGTAAAGATAACTTAATAAATAAGTTGAATATATGAAAATTTAGCAATGGACGAATCACTGCATTCAATTTGTATCTATTCTGGTATAATACAGTCTCTAGATTTCAAATTATAAACCTTACAGAAATATTTGAAATATTTCACTTGCATTAATATATCTGTATATACTAAAATTTCATTATATCTTGTTAGTTCTGTTCACTCTAAAATATACTTTGAAAACCACAAAACAATTGTAATATAAAAGTACGGTGTTTATGAATTCGTGAAATGACGAGAAAATACAAATTTTGTTTGTAATATCTGCAACAAGATTTACAATAATCGATTAATAACATATTACACTATGCGATTATTATCACCTTCATTCATATACGCTCATGCATTTCTACTTGCTAAATTGCAACTACTTGTGCAGCTACAAAAGCCGGCGTAAAACGAATCAATGTTTACAGTGTAGTCCAGTTGTGGGATAGACATAAACCGAGGGCTAACTGAACTTTTGTCATTGAGAAGTAACCAAACACAATACTTATATACGGAAAGAGTCGATGTAATTAAATGGAAAATATGAACAGAAGAATGCAGAAGAGAATAAAAAAAATAGTATCAGCACAAAAATGTTTGCGAGTGAAAAATTTGTATCCAACGTAAATACGTTTGATTGATCTTATATTAGACAAATTAAGAAGTAAAATTCAAAATTTTGTTATTTGCCAAGTAGAAAAATGTGAATTGATCAACAAAAGATGATATTCAAAAGAAAATCAGATATTCTCTGGATAAATAATAAGGTTTGTGATAAGAAAATTTAATTACGGCAATTTTTGCAATATTTTGTCCACTAGGAAAAATTCATTAATGATTCCGAGAAATTAATGATGTAAAAATAGTTATATCATCTTCAATTATAAATATCTTAACAAAATATTCTTTGATAATTTTTTCAAATAATTTTTAACACTTTTCTTGTGATAAATTCAACGTTAACCTTCGTATATATAAAAAAAAATTGACGTAAAGAAGAAATCAATCATTCAAAACAAAGCAATCATTCAAACCGAAATGAAATTATTGTAGACGTAAAGATATATTGAGTACTTTAACCATATGCATTAATTAAATTAATAGTAAAAAAAATGTATATAAACATTAGTTATAAATATTCTTGTTAATAGACAATCATCCACTTTTGAACATTCTGACAGCTAAGTGTTATTCTTATGAAGAAATCAGAAGACATGTTATACTTACAACGTGTTACAGAAAAGACAACTACTAAAAGATGTGACAAGTGTTGATCAAAAAATAATATCATCAATGAATTGAATAAAGATATTAGAGCGAAACAGTGGTTCGCAGATACTCGCGTCTGCAAGAAGTTTAAGATCTGTAGACGCAGGACTCTCTGTAATTACAAAACACCTCCTTTTTGTTCGGAAGATAATTAATCATATATAATATTTCGTTTCCACCACTCATAAATAATTTTCAACAATGAAATAACTACCACTTCCAAAAGTTTCAACATTTCTTAAGAAATGCCAAGACAATAAAAATCACATACCTGATAAACAATTGCTTATTTTGTTTAAAAGCAAAAAAATATCCACTATGCAAGAAAAGTAATAATACACTGAACAAATATTTATCTGCGTATAAAAATAAGAATTAAATTACACAATTCTAATCAAAACTGTTACAATTATGTAAACATAAATCAGAGACAAAGACTGTCAAACAAACAAAAATGTAATTACATAAACAAATTTGTAATCAAACAAACATGTTTATGCAGCAATAATTCTGCGACGAAAGAGATACCAAAAAAAAAGAAGTGAAACATAAACAAGAATTTTAATTGAAATGGACAAAACCAAGTATAGTTGAAAAGCCAAACGAGAGCAAAACAAACACTCCCACCGGTTCAGCTTTCAACTGAAAAATATGACTCACCAAAGGAGTAGCGAAGCGAATTTGGTAGCTCGCTATAAATGCTGGTAAGTGATAAAAACGCAGCAACGAGTTTAATTCAGTGCCATCTATAGACTGACATTTGTATTATACAATTGTCCTCGATTACATAAGCATTGAAAGTTATTTCAATCCAATGTTTAGATATTGTGTTTATTGTAAGAATCATGAACATATTAAACAATTTGTAGTTAAAGTAGTTTTCATATTAGAAATCTAAGCTGGAATTTTACTTTATGCTTAAAAAACAGTGTTTTCACCAGTGCAAGATTGATTAACATAAAAGGTGGCTGTCTTCAGATTACGATTATTGTTTAATTATGTAATTATCAATGTACGCATGGTTTTTATGAACTAAGATCAAAAAGAATGCAGAACTTTTCAAAATCGAATTATTGATATTATTATTGATTCATACAAAAGGTGGCTGTCTTTAGTTTACGATTCTTGTTGAATTATGTAATTATCAACGTAAGCATGGTTCTTATGATCTAAGAGCAAACAGAATGCAGAACTTTTCAAAATCTAATTATCGATATTATTATTCATTCATACAAAAGGTGACTGTCTTTAGTTTACGATTCTTGTTGAATTATGTAATTATCAACGTAGGCATAGTTTTTATGACCTAAGATCAAACATAATGCAGAACTTTTCAAAATCGAATTATCGATATTATTATTGATTCATACAAAACGTGGCTGTCTTTAGTTTACGATTCTTATTGAATTATGTAATTATCCTTCGTGATTATCCTGAAATTAATGAATTAAAATGCTCCTTTTCAGAAACGTCACATCTCACAGCTCATTCCAGACTGGATGGATGACATTAGGAAGCTGTCAGTTTTTGTCCCGTCTAATTAAAAATGAAAATCTGATTAGTTTTACTGCAATTTATAGGTGTCAGATGTTCAGAATTCAATTAGCATTGATTGATTTAGATTTTGTCATTTAAAATAAATAATGAGTGTACAATAATTACGTTTCTACAGAAAATGAAACGTTTTATGCACTAGTTAATGGTGCTTAACATACATTAAAACTTTATCTCATAAAAAAATCATACATTAATATGAATGATTCAGTATAAAATATGTATGAAACAGATTTGCAACTCATAAAATCAAAGACATTTTATGTTATAATATATAATTTTCAAATATAATAACTGAATATAAAAATTCAATGATTGCTCTATAAATATTAAATGATTTTACAGCTTTATAAATCACGACTCGATCGAATAGAACAGAATCAAATTGAAAATGACGAAGAAATTGTTTGCTCTCAGAGCAAATCTGAGATTCATGAGGTTATTAGGGATGTGGCCAGGCGAAGGTAAAGCGAACACGAATATACGTTTCAAAATTGAGGTGTTCATTAGAATGGCATTAACATTCGCCGTCAGTTTCGGTGCTTTGGCTCAGCTGATACGAGAGATGAAAGGTAATAATTGAAGATCTTCAAATATATGGCTCAAAATAAAATTGATACTTAGGTTTGAGCAAGTCCGATTTGGTGGAAGTCGTTGAAACTCTGGCCTTAACATCGATTGGTATAACGTATTATTACATGTTCATCTGTTACTTGCTGAACATGCCTAAGATGGAGACGCTCGTGACGGACATAAACGACTTCTCTTTCTTCAAAAAACCTAAAGATTTCGTGAAAATCAATAAACGCATCGAATGGCTCGTCGCGATTTACAACTTCTGCATTTACGGCGTCATCACTCTGTATTCAATACTGAGTTACACGGAGAAGTCCGAGTGCTTGGAAGAGAACGAGAAGTTCGAGAAGGACAAAATCTGCGGATTGTTGGCCAACACTTGGATGGCCATCGATCTTACACGATCACCCATCAACGAGATCTTCATTTGCTTGCAGACGTACTCGGGCTGGGTCTTCATGGTAGGAGGAATCAACATGTTCTCCTTCGTCTTCGCCTGCATCGAGAATCTTATCCTCAGGTTGAATGTGATTAAAGCGATTATGCAGGAGATGTTCGAATCGGATTCGGAATCAGAGAAGAGACGTTTGCTCAACTATTGCATCCGCTATCATGTGAACGTCATCGAGTATGTAGATCTGAAATAAGTGTATAACAAATTTGTATTTAATTTAATCACAATTTGGTTCGCAGATTTATACATCGCCTCAACGCAGCTTTTCGCTCTGTGACATTTGCTTCAATATCTTTGTTTTCTTTGCTGATGGCCTTAGCAGCTTACCAGTTCATAAATGTAATAAGCTCACATAAAGCTAATATAAACTAATTGGATAATGCAAACCCTGTCACGAAATGACAGCTGTCACCTGTCATTATAAACTATGTCAAATTAATTGAAAATATTGTAGGTTCCTTCTGTTAAAGCTCTGCTACATTTTCAAGGATTCTTCCTCACATGGTTTATAATCTGCTTTATGGGTCAGAGAATCATCACTCAGGTGCACACATTGTTTATTAATAAAGTACACAATTTACATTTATAAATTAATTAATTGCAGAGCTTAGAATTCAACGCATTCTTGTATAACACACCGTGGTATACGCAGAGCGTGTCAATCCAAAAAGATTTTCTGATGGTTTTAAGGAGATCGCAGTTTCCTTTGGAGATTTGGGCAGGTCCTTTTGCCACCATGTCATTCCCGACATTTCAATTGGTAATATCAAATACTTGACTAATTATATTACATTTTTACAATTTTGTTGTCTCATGTTGAAGGTGATGAGAAACACGTACACTTTCGTCACCGTTTTAAGCATGGCTTTGGAATAATTTAGAAATCGATTGTTTTTTTTAAATGCTGAATAGAAAGTAGAGCTAATTTTGAAAGAATGGTAAAGTTTGTTGATTGCTTATGTAACTCAAATACTTACGTTTTGTTGAAGTGAATGAAAATTGCAAATTTTCATCTAAAAGTGCTTAATTTCCTGCGTTTTTGAGCACGTTTTCCGCGTTGGATGTTTGCCTGAGCAGAGTTACAATTTGGTAGATGTTCTGCATGATCTGGAATTAATAATTGAGTAATGGATTTAAGTGGATTGTGGTTGTTTATACTGCGCTAAATTTGGCTAAAGATAAATCGCTGAAGCCCATCGCGCTCAAATTCATGATGATGTGGGAACGCCGCAGGACGAAGCAAACATCCTTCTGCATGGACAAGTCACCGAGGTACCATTCCATCGAATAAATCTCTATCAAAGAGTTGCTCTGAAAGTTAAAGTTGAGTATGTTATAGCAACGATTTACAAGACGAACCTCGTTCAATAATCGTTGTCCTGTGTAGCAAGTAGTCAGCATGATGTTAAACCATCCGATGAAATGGATCGTCGTCTTTAATTGGGTATCTATGGTGCATTGGAAACCGACCAAACTCATGATGGCGGAGCCAAAGGTGATGTACATCAGAAAAACCTGTCCGAAGATGTCGTTGAATTCATCATTAAGACTAAAACATAGTTGGGATTATCGAAAACCTAATTCAATTCCAAAAATAATAATGGAACCTTAGGATATGCGTGTGGTAGGCGATGCATTCGTGGAAATGCTTTTTTCGTTGATCGAAGTCAGCGATTTTGAACGTCTCGCGAAACTTGTCTTTGAGATGCTGAATCTTGACGATCCTCATCTCGTTGAGGCTGACGATGAAGCCCATTATGAGTGATGAGGAACCGGTGAGCATCGTACAACTGGACGTCAGAATCAACCAGTAAATCTCCTTGATCGGAGATTTGTCCACATCGATGGGAAACCGGAACAGAGTCAGAAATCCGCAAGTCTTTTCGACGTTGTATTTGATCTTTTCGTGTTCGCAAGTCCCCGGATAGAACAGGTTGATGGCCGATAGGAAAATAACGCCGAAGAAGGAATAAGCACCGAGTCCCAAGCCCACCAGATTCATCAATTTGTTCATCTTGTCGAACCTCGGCGGTTTCCCAAATTTCGTGTCCTTCAACATGTCCACGAAACCATCGACTCTTTGAGATTTCGACATGAAGGCGAGCGCTGACCAAAACAATCCGAATCCGGCCGAAGAAGTTGCGATGTCGTCTATGATATCCGTAAGCAAATATGGTTTATTACCTGCAATCATTAATCAAGTTTCTATGTAAAACTAAATAAATAACTTACTCATCAAAGAGTAAATTAAATGCGAATAACAGCCCACTATTGTTAAAGAGTAGTAAGCGAGTATAACAGTTAAACGCAGCAAGAAACGTTTTTCTGTAAAACTTTGTCCTTTCTTCGGAAGGAAACCGCTCCATCTCATGTACTTGAAGATCGATTGGAGAATAGGATCGTTGTCCATTCTGGTTGCATTAAATTCTACGCAGATTACGTTGTTTATATATGTTTTGTTGTGCTTTGATGTTACTCATAATTAACTTAGCTTTCATGTAATTGAAGATTATATAATATAAATATTGAATTATTAATACGCATTCGTTATTTTTCCCTTCGTTATTTATTTACTTATGTTTATATCAACAAATTCAAAGAATCACAAATACACATAATTTTTTTACTTTAAAACTTTGCGTCTTCAATTAGAATTGAATTGTAGAAATATATTATCGTTTACACAAATCTATAATTTTATTACAAAGTTTATTACATCATAGCACCATATTTTTTTAACTTTGGAATTATAACCAAATGGATGAAACAACAGTAATGTATGAATACTCGCTACATACCCCAAATATCCAGCTTTCATATGCATCTGCTAGATCCATTCTATCTTTTATAGTTTTCGAGAAAATCAATGAAATGTAAATACACTG